AGGACTAGTGATTGTTACTTTAGTATTAGTGATTGTTACTTTAGGACCAGTGATTGTTACTTTAGGACTAGTGATTGTTACTTTAGTATTAGTGATTGTTACTTTAGGACTAGTTGTTACTTTAGGACTAGTGATTGTTACTTTAGGACTAGTTGTTACTTTAGTTTGTTACTAGTGATTGTTACTTTAGAACTAGTGATTGACTGATCAATTGTTAGTTTAGTACTACCAATTATTACTTTAAAACTAGTGATTGTTAGTTACTTTAGGACTACTGACTGTTATTTAGGACTAGTGATTGTTACTTTAAGACTAGTGATTGTTCGTTAATTTAGTACTAGTTAGTGACTGTTATTTAGGACTAGTGAGTGTTAGTTACTTTAGGACTAGTGATTGTTGCTCATAACGTGTCTGTTTTTCTTTCCTCAAAATCATTATCAAAAAAGCCTATTGGGGAGCAAATGCCAGAAAAAGAGGACTCAGCCAGGCAGGAGGCTCCCTGGACCATGTCTGAAATCCCATGAGGGCTTCCTTCCAAAATGGCAAATTTGTGTGAATAAGCCCATTCAAGAGAGCTAAGTGCATTAAAAAAAATAAAATTAGGTTCTGAAAAAAATGACATGTTAATGTAATTGAAAATGGTTTCAAAATGTAGTCTTAGGAATATATCTTGTTTAAAAAGAACAGTTCCACAATCCCTCAGTTGTAGATTCAAATTCTGTCTCATTCTCATGTATTTGATATTTAAAAAACAAACAAGCAAAGAAACAAACAAAAAAAAAACAAGACCAAAAAAATATTTCTTGGGGCTCAAGAGATGACATAATTGTCCTCAGCCCCTGAGGAACTGAGTCCAAATCCCTAGTGCCTCTGTAAAAGGCCAAGAATGACCATACATGCATCTAAAACCTATGTTCAGTAAGGGGTCAGGGGAGCAAGAAGACAACGAAGGCTTCCTGACAACCAGGCCAATTCCATGTTCAGGGAGAGATCTGGTCTCATAGGAATAAAACCCAGAGTGAGAGACCAGGGTACCCCATGTCCTCCTCTGACCTCTGCACCCAGTGAGCACACACACACACACACACACACACACACACACACACAGAGAGAGAGAGAGAGAGAGAGAGAGAGAGAGAGAGAGAGAGATCCCTTGATTGCCTGCCCAGAAGGTACACAGCTCATGACTGAACCACACAGATCATCTTCTGAAGCCACGTGCAAATGTACACATCCATTCACATGCATGCTTTTATAGAGTTCTCAAGAGTGACACTTGTCCCTAAGTGGTTAAGAACCATCACTCTGAGCATGAATTTCTGAACCCATCTGGTCCCTCATGCAGCTAACAGCTTCCAGGATGCTGAGGCTAATTTTGAGCTTGACATTTGGAGAGCTGGGGCTTCCACACAGCTTGAAAGATGCCAATAGTGTGTCACATCCAGGCAGCACATGGAAAGGGGAAAAGTTGGATGTTTCTTTTGATGGAAAAGAATGAGACCAGTTGCCAGTCAAGCAGCCCAGCACTCAGACCCTCAGTCCCCAGAAGCTAGCGCTTTCACTAGAAGACAGGTTACAGTGATTAGAGATAACTAGAAATGGACTCTGGACACAGCTTTTTATTGAATCACAGCAAAACTGAGATTCAGGAGTGGAGTTGCAAGCTTGTGGCTAAGACTACGAGGCATCCACAGGCCAGGACAGTTAAGCAGAGATTTCAAGAGATAGAAATGACATTAGCAGGGAGTTTGTAGAAGAAAGAAAGTGATCTGAGGTAGGAGGTAAAGACATGTATATTTGTGATTTATTCCCTTTCAGAGAGTATTTTTCTGAATTTTCTGCTTTGAAAGGGTTAAATGGGGCTGGAGAGATGGCTCGAGGGTTGAGGACTTCCTGCTCTTGCAGAGGACCTGAGATTTGTTCTTAATACCCACATGGTGGTTCATGACTGCCCATGACTTCAGTTCCTGTATATCCAATGCTCTCTTCCAGTATCCACACACACTGTATGTGTGTGGTACACACACAAAAAATAAATATATAAACAAATACTTTTTTAAAGTGTCACACATCTATACTACACAGCCTAGGTCTTCTGTCTCATCCATCCCAATAAATTAGGTGATTTAGGTTTTCGTGGTGAATGAGTCGAAAACTAAACAAATATCTGGGATTAGGGGACTGGAGAGATGGCTCAGGTGGTCAGTGAGAAACTCTGTCTCCAAAACAAGGTGACAGCACTTGCGGGACAATACTCAAGCTTGGCCTCTACTCTATGTGCATGTGTATGTGGCATGCACTAACACACATGCATGTGCGCGCCTGCACGCGCGCGCACACACACACACATCCTTGTACACATGCACCCATGCACACACACATGCATGCATGTCCATACATGAACACAGCTTGAGGACATATTTTTTAACTCTGTCTCTTTGTATTATACGTTGGCCAAATCTCACTGACTATAATGCTTTTTTCCAAGCTATAAACATGATCACCACATAGTAACGGGGTCTGGCTGCAGAAAGACATTTTTATGCTTGTAATAGAATCCAGCTAAGAGGCTAAAAATTATGCGCATGGGATCCTGAGCCAGGGCCATTTCTTCTTACCCCCTTGATGTTTATATAAATCAGTTTGTATAGTGGAAAAATGTGAAGGTTAATTTTAATTACCAACTTGACATGGTCTAGAGTCATCTGCGAAGTGAGTCTTAGTTAAAGATTGTCTAGGTTTGCCAGGCAGTGGTGGCGCACGCCTTTAATCCCAGCACTTGGGAGGCAGAGGCAAGCGGATTTCTGAGTTCGAGGCCAGCCTGGTCTACAGAGTGAGTTCCAGGACAGCCAGGGCTGCACAGAGAAACCCTGTCTCGAAAAAAAACAAAAACAAAAAACAAAAACAAAAACAAAAAAACAAAATGATTGTGTAGGTTGTCCTGCTTGTAAAGTGTTATCTTGATTGTTTGATGTAGGAGGACCCAGCCTGAAAGTGGGCGGCACCATTCCCTAGGCTGGAAATCCTAAACTTATGAGAGTAGAGAAGTCAAGCTGAGCATAGGCAACGAGTGTTCATTGTTTCCGCTCTTGACTGTGAATATAGTGTGACCAGGGGCTTCAGGTTCTGCCCTAGTCACAAATTGTCATGGACTCATGGGCCTCCAACCCCTTTTTCCTTGAATTTTCTTTTTCTTTTTTTCTTTTCTTTTCTTTCTTTCTTTCTTTCTTTCTTTTTTTTTTTTTTTTTTTTTTCTTTTTTTTTTTTTTTTTTTGCACAACAGGGAATGGAACTGAGGCACAGACTGCCTCCAAAAACAGCAAAAGAGTTAAATTCCTAGGAAGACAGATCTCCATTTAAGTTCCAGTCTCAAGCTCCTTGGCTGTCATGTTTGGTCACAGCTTTGCACCTGTGAGTCTCAGGAGGGTATACACCACAGGTGGCCATATGAACATCACCCTTCTACAATATCAGTCTTCCCTTTTGGGTCTTACAGGAGCTACAATGGTACCAATACTGCTTTGCCTAATCTCCAATCTGG